TGTGCGTGTGCGTGTGCGTGTGCGTGTGTGCGTGTGTCTCCGTGTGCGTGTGTCTACGTGCGTGTGCATGCGTGTGCGTCTGCGTCTGCGCGCGCGTGCGCATTTGCGTACGGTGTGTCAGTGTGTCAGTGTCCCAGTGTGTCAGTGTGTGTGTGTGTGTGTGTGTGTGCGTCCATGTGCGTGGGTGTGTGGGCGTGTGGGTGCGTGCAGGTGTTTGCCTGCGCGGCATACCCCTCACCTACTGCGTCTTTGAAACATGCCATATCAAGTGGATAGCGGAGCAAAAAACGCACTGAAAGCGCCAGAGGAATTCGGAAGCTGACATCAACAAGGAAGAACCATATTTCAGGTCGTCATGAGGAGTCGGTGTTCACAAGTGTGGCCGTGTAGAATACCTGCTGGATTGTAGTTGAAAGGGAAACCGCTGCAAAAAGCTACCTTGAGAACCCCTCAAGAAATGGTCACTTTACGAGGCCCAGTTTGATGATACCAGTCTGACAACACTCTTTGCCAGTCTTCAAAGCAGCCTTCAAAGTGACAACCCGGCCATCTTCTCCCCGCAAGACTTTCAGCGCCCCACCAGCACATCCTCAGCTGCAGTGCTGAGTCCAGGAAAACGAACACAACAATGCACAACAACCCGCTGTGCCGCGCACTTTGCGATGAGACCCTCGTACGGCATCAAAGGTTCCGCATCGAAGATGCCGGGATCATCCGGCAGGTTCTGGCGGCTGGGTCCGAAACGATAGCGAGGGATAGCGAGCGCAAATGCTGTCCTCCTTCTCGAAACGATACCAGGTGCCGCCTGACAAGCCAAACTCAAAGCAGCGCCTTGGTTTGGCAACGTGCGAATGGCATTCTGGGCCTGGAATCCTCTTGGACGCTCAAAGATTGCAAGCATTGAAAGCTACTGAAAAAAGAAGACGAGCTGAGCTGATACGCTTTGCGACTTGATGGTTTGAATCGAACTACAAATCGCGAAGGAGCCATAAGTCAACCCTTTTCACATGGAACCCTTCGACGTTCCGGGGTGTGGTGATCCGACGATTGTCCTTGTAGAGGGACCCTCTAACGTCGAACGGCTCCATGTGCTAATTGGGTGGCAGGGGCAACGGTCGACTCCGTCGGTCTCACGCGCCGCGAAGTCGCCTGGGTGGACTCCAGCGAAGTCCCGAGCATCTGGGCTCCGGCCTAAGCCAGGCTGTGGGGTTCAGGGGCCCCTGCAAGAAAGGAATCCTCGTCGAAAAGCCCCCCCCCTCCGGGAAAAAAAGGGACAAGTGGGGAAGTGGACAAGTGGACAAGCGGACGGGGAAGTGGGGAAGTGGGGAAGTGGAGAGAGGGGTTATTCAGGGGTTTCCGCAAAAGCCGTGCCCAGTTTCGGGAGAAGGGGTTGCCTTCATTTGGGCGATGCCGAAAGGGGGGGTTCTCGGCAGAGACAATTGGAGAACGCGGTGATTTCGAAATGCCCCCCTTGGCGTTCCAAAGGCAAACAAAAAAAAAGAGAGATTGTACAAAAATTGGCACTGAATCTGAATGTCGGACTGTCTGGGCTGAGGCCACAGCTTATCATGACCCCGTTGTTGGGCAAGCCAGACACCTGGCATCGGGCGACGTTCGAGCCATCGGCAAAGCTTTTTTGCCGCGGGCGGCTTGGCGGCGCAACGCAGGCGCAATGCGCACGCCGAGGCCACGGGGCCCGTGGCCGTTCCGCAGAAGCCGCTGGTCTGCAGCATGATCATGTCCCCGGACTGGCAAATGGCGGTGGGTCAAAAGTAGGTACCCAAAATGGAACCCTGATAAAAGGAACTAAGGGCTAAAACCTGCGGTTCCCTGGCGGCTTTAATCTTGAGCCATACCCAAATCAAGCGAGAGCAAAAAAGGAACCAGATCCTTGGGTTCCAAAGTGAGTTCAGCTGTGGGTCAAAAATAGGGTAACCACAAAATGGGTTGCCCTGGCAAATGGAAACAACGACTAAAACCTGCGGTCCAATTCCTGGTGGCTTAACTTTGACCCATAGCCATTCCGATTTTCTCCTTTCGCTGTCAAAGAGCATGCGGCCGCCTGCGTGCCCACGCCGCGAAAGCCCTCGATGGAGCAAATCTTCACCTCCGACAGGGGCCAGTTCCTCGGATACGCTGTGGGGTCCTTTGCGGGGTTTCGCAAAGTGATGGTACCCCAACATGGGTGCGGTCCCCTTTTCTTCAATATCAAATAAGGCTACCCTAACAAAAGATTGGCCTTCGAAGTGGTTGAATGCCTTTCCGACAAAGTCAGCTCAAGGGGCGTGAACCTCGGGTGCAGCAACTGGGGCCGCCACACCAAGGACACCTCACACAGGGCATAGTGATCGTTGGAGGCACCTCAGGCTTGCTACTCACAAAACCGGGGACACCCGACCGTGGGTGCGCATTCTACACTCCGATTCGCATAGCACGCCTGTCTGTCAGCCCTCGGGTCTTCTTTCGTGTTTCAATCAACTCTCCCTGGGTGCGAGTCTTCCGATAAAAATCCGAAGCTTGCTCGGCACGCGTTGCAGTCTCTTTGGATGGAGCTGAGCTCGGTACATACAAACTCCCGAAATGACGAGGATCCAAGATATAGTGTATGCACCACCCAAAAAAAATGATGTGGGAAACCATTGCTTGTCATTTGCAGAAACATATTCATCTCAGGGGAACTTGGGTGGTGCAAGACTCGTCCTTCCACAATGAGTGTATTGATCAAACCCACTGAGTCGCGCTGGATGAATTCTCTGGAACCCCAAAAGTCATGGTCTGGCTCTCGCGGCTTTCCTCCAAACCCACATAGAGGCAGCTTTTCCAAAAACCAGAGCAACCTTTCCATGACAAACTACACACACACACAACACACAAATCAAAGGTTGTGCCACCAGACCACTGGAACAGACCTGGCAGGACGCAAGAGCAATTGGGGAGGTAAACAAGCTCTAAAGCGGCTTAACTGTGATTCTTCTTCTTTGGGCTGTGGTCTGGGAGTCAGCGGGGACTACCATGTCCTTGCCGGACTCCTGGTAGCTTTAGGAGAACCCCAGCTCCCTTCGTCCGGCTCCCCTTCCACCACCAGCTAGCCTTTGAACCAACGCTCACACCTGAGTCATACTCAAAACCCGGTATTAACATGGCCTGCCATGGCCTGCCCAGAAGCATGAGAATCATGCCTCAAGAATTTCAGACTGCGGATTTTTCCGGACCGGGATCGCCCCTTAACCTTCATCTACCTTCATCTTCGTGGCTCCACGCGCCGAACGCCGAACGCCCTTGGGCTCCCTGCCGGCCACCACGAAGCTGAGCAGCTCCGTCGCGTAGGCCCCGTCCACGTTGCAGCACTCCTTGCGCTCAAGGCATTTCTCTTGACCATGACTTATACGGGGCTGCCCGGATTTCCCCAAAAAGGTTGCAACTTACCAGTGGGTTCCATGGAAACTGCCACTTTTGCAGGTTCCAAAAAGGGAAATCTGATGAGAGGGTCCACTGTTCGTGAGCTTAAACCAACTTGAACCACTGGCTGTGCTGTAAAAGGCCGCTCTCAGATCTCAATGCACCATGCTCTGCTCATCGTGTTCCATGCCATGTGCACAAGCGATCGTCCCATTTCCTGAGGCTCAAACTCCAAGGCCTCCACAAAAGCACGCGCGGTATGCGCCTGGCTGCCTCAGGCAAAAGCGTGCGTAAACATGAAGCGACCGGCCACGCATGGCCACTCGCCCACGTGCAAAGCCAAGGGCAACAAAAAAGGATTTGCTGCGTGACCTTGATAGCTGCTTCTTTGACGGGGCACCGCTGCTCATCACTGAGGGACTGATCATGCGTGGCCTTTTGCAACCATAGATGGCCCAGGTAAATGGAACGAAACCAACTAAACCGGTGACCAAACTAACCGAAAAAGGACACCTATGGGACTGACCCTCCTGAACCAGTCAGGACGGAGGTGTTTTATCCGACCAGAGGCCTGGGCATGGCAGCATAGCCCTGCCACGTGGATGAGCCTCGGATCCCGGACGCCTTCCGTGGGGCACCCGGCGGAAGGGGCGCATGGGGCGTGGGAGCTGTTGCATCGCCACTTTGGATAAGTCTCTCGGACCTGGGATCTAACGCCTACAACATCTTGGCAAAGCCCTGCTTAGGTAGCACAACGCTGCACTGGAAGAATTTTAAAGCGCCACGAGGGGGGTTCTGCGCTTACATGCGTCAAACAACTGGGACTTCGGCTGCTGTCTCCGAAGTCACGCTGACCGAGCGTGGGCCCTCCCACGGATGTGCGAGCATGCATGCGCCAAGTGGCGCACAGGTGCACATTAAATCACATACACGTGTGCAACAGCTGTCTGTGCTGGAGCGTGCCACTCATGAGAAACACTGAGACGCCTTCATGGCGCCACAAGCATGGCACGAAACCAGGCCTTGCACCTTCAGTGTCGCCACGGAGCTGTAGGCATCTCAGTGGCACAGTACGCAGCCGCAGCACGGCTTGCAAACAACCGCCTTCTGTCCTGTCCGAACCAAGGGCAATGAGAGCCCCGAATGCATAAACAGGCTGTTGTTTTGGCTTGCGAAGGAGCACCTTCATCAAGCAGGCTAGTCATTGACTGAGCCCATGGAGAGGCTGCAGTTCACAAGCTCCCGGCCACCGCAAACAGCAACCTGGGTCTGCCGGAGTTCTAGAATCATAGGCTATGAGGATCATGTGGCTGTGGCCCAAAACCCCGGTACCACAGTGGAACCCTGGCAAGTGGAAACATGGACCAAAACCTGCGTTCCCCCTCCTGCTTAATTTTGAGCCACACCCATGTGAAAAATCATAGTTCAGTACCCGAAGGGTTGACCGAATCATCCCATGAGAACCCCCTTTCAACTCACCACGAAACGGTTCACAACACTCAGCGAATGCGAAGTACTAGGGTTCAGACATCATCGCTTTCTACAATGCGCATGCGATCCGCATCCTTGCACGCTGCACATTCTTCATCAAGCACGTAAGGCCACGCTGGCATCATCATCCCTTTTCCTACGCGCACAGCCAGTCCTGCAAGAATGGTGCCCGAATAGTAAAGCTGAAGACCGACTTCAGCTTGTACTCCTTCGCAGATCCGAACTGGCACTTCAGGCTGCTTCACAACACCCGCCTCATGCCGCCCGGAGGGGATATCGAAGCCTCTCGCGTCCCAGACCTGGCCAAGTTGCCCTTCCCCACCCCCCCACCCCACGCTCAGTGAGGGCCCCACAGCCAAGGCGCCCCCATACGCAGCACTGGAGGCCACAATCTCCTGGGCCAGGGATGCCAATCGGTCGAACCGGCCGGCATTCGCTCGCTTTGGCTGGGAGTTGGGCCAGGCGGTCAGGCGCCACTGACACTGCCTCACAGGAACCACAGCGCCGCAGCCTGAACTCATGACTGCGCACGTGCCTTCGAGGCAGATGGCTCCACCTGGCTCAGAAGGCTCAGGACAAGCGGGGGCACGCATCCGAAGTTTCACGGTGAGCATGCTTCAAGACTTTCAGGGCCTCGCAGAGCGGTTTTCCCTCATCGGCGCAGCTTTCACGCAGTTGGGGGGGTGAAACTGGTAGCCCCAGAATCTCAGGATGCGATCCGATGCCTCACCGCCCGAGTCAACGAGTCTCAGTCCAGCAAGGCGTGGGACTTGTGGGGGGAGAGCGGTGCTTCGAAGGCGGGCCGCACGCGGGCCCCGCTGCAGGGCGCGGCCTTGGGCCGCAAGATCCTGACCCCTGGCATGGCACGAGGGAACATGAGCCGTGCAAAGGGGTGGTCCTCCAGGTGCAAACAATCCACCACCGAGCACCCGCGGCAGCAGGGATCGCCCCAGGCCACCGATACCGCTGGCGCCCCCGACTCGGAGCCCGGGGCACATCGCCCGCAGAGCTGGCACACCCCGTCCTCCACCGCCGGCCGACCCGCCTCCACCTGGGTCGCAAAGACGAATCGAAGCCACCCGGCCAACCACAAAACCTGCCCCAACCTTGGCAATAGTCACCTACCTGTGAACCCCTGGAGAATCTGTCCTCACCAAGCACAGCAAAGGTGTTTCGTGCAGAACTTCCGACCAGCAGTTCCACCACCCACTGCCCTATACAATGGTTCCATGCCGAAGCTGCCCTTGGGTAGTGGCTTGGGCTAGTGGAGCATAGTTGCAGGGAACTCAACACAGACAGTACTTATCCTTGCATGGGCTGCTTTGCACAAAGGGATCTTGCACAGGCATTGATTGATGGCACAGAAAACTTGCACAGGCTCATTTTGTGCGAAGCCTGCTGCACAAACCAGATGCGGAAAGAAGTTTAACAACCACTTGCAAAGACTCTGCTTTGCTCAGGCCATTTGTGACAATATTGCTATTTTACTTTTTACCCCTGTATTTAATGATCAGGCCGCAGTAGCTAGGCTGAAATCGCTCTACAACATGTACACCTTCTGTGGTGGGTATATGTGCTTGGGTCATGTCACATAGAGTCTCTGCACAGGCTTTCTTTCTACGCACGCCAAACTCGCACAGAACCACAGGCCATACCTGCACAAACTTGCGCAGAGTGCAACAATTTATCAAAGCTGTGTTGCTTCTCTGCACGAGTTCGCGTCGTAGCTCATGGCTGGCTGCCACGTATTGGACCCCTTCACGGTTTCGATGCTCGGACACGTGTTCGGGAACCGCAGCGCCAGTGTCAACTTGTTTTGATCCAGGGTTCCCTTTGCGAGCTACGGACACACGCAGTAGGCGTTGCTCGTGTCATCCCTGGGCACTGGCAAGCCCCAATGCTGTTCCGCACGAAACACCTTCATGCGTTCAAGCCAAGTGTGGGCAACAAGCATCTCCAAACATCTATATTAGCACATAGTTCTACCTATGCATGTAGAGGGAGAGACACATGCGTGTGTGCGGGCAGTATTCAATCTGCTCCAACCAAACTCTTCGTTGGAGAGCAAAACCAGCTCCCTCTACAAGTTCTTCTCCGACCAAAAACCGACGCCAAGACGTGCCTTGAAGAGATCCTCCAGCGGCAGCAGCTGGCTTAGCACCGCCCGGGGCTGGCGAGTCTTCTGGAAGGAGGCGGCCACCTGCTTGGTGAGGGCCTGGCAGGGCCCCAGAAAAACCTTCGCCCAAGACCTGGGACCAAAACGTCTTAAGGATTGCCTGCAAGCTGGCCCTTGCAGAATAAACCCAGCAAAAATAAGCAAAATACTATCATCACTAGCAACGATGACAACATGTTTACCCAAACAAAAACCCAAAACAAAACAAAAAACATAGCCAAAAAGAACCAAAAGAGACAATTAAAAGAAGAAGAAGAAGAAAGGCAAGCCCCAAACTCCCCGCCTCGATTCTGTCCTTGGCGGCGGTCTCCGAGAGCGCCAGCTTGGGGCTGGCGCTGCTGGAGCACGTGGCGCTCTCCTCGGGCTCCTCGTCGCTGGAGCTGTCCACCCGCCGCGGCGGCGGCCGCGGGATCCCCGACTCCGTCATGGCCCGCACCACCAGCGCCGCCTTGCCCAGGGCCTTGGCGGCCTGGGAGCTTGGAGCGAGGCCGCGGCGGGAAAGAAGCGGCACGTTGGGAGGCGTTTTGTTTTTTTGTTTAAGAGATTTTTTTTTTTTTTTTAAAAAAAAAAAAGCACATTTGGGGAACTGGCAACGACCTCATGTGCCCTCGCTGAGGGAGAAACAACTGGATGGGCTGGGGATGAAACACCCCCCGATAAGATTGCCCCTGCAAGTAGGAACGCAGTGCAAGGGCTGCCCAACAGGAATGCAAGCTAATGGGCAGCACCGGCCGTTTGGTTTTTGAAAACAAAAAGTAGAAAGGAGAGGAGCGCCCGGATATTATCCGGATATTATATTGGCTCAGCTACTAGGTCCTCCAGTTTTGGAGGTCAGAATAAGGGTACCAACTTTTTTCTGTCCATTTTACTAGGTGAACCCTCCCAACCAAAAAAAGACCCGGCAAAAAAGTTGGCGCCAATTGCTGGGGGGACCGGGCTGGGGCCCCCTCTACTTCCGCTCCCGCGCCTCCCGCCCTCTACTTCCGCTCCCGCGCCTCCCGCACGGAGTTGGTGGTCTTCAGGCGGTTCACCGACTGCGCGGCCTCCCGGGTGCTCTTCCCCGGCTTCAGCCGCGGCGCCATGGGCTGCACCTTGGGCCGCCGCTTCGGGACCTGCATGGCGAGCGAGGGCGGTGGCGTGGCAGGTGGCCGGTACTACCGTAGAGAGGAAGCTGGGGCCAGGTGGGGGGAAAAGAACGGAGGTAGCTCGGGGTACCTTCCGTGTCCATTCTTTCCAGGGAAATCTCACCAAAAAAAGAAGAATAAAAACAAACGGCTGGTACCTTCAGTGTAGTGGGAAGGGTATGCTTTGATTGGGGGTTCCCATTTGAGGAATTGTTCAAGCCACTTCAGATAAGTCCAAGGCAACCTTCCAGATCCATTTCCAGGGATCCCTCTTTATTATAGAAGATCTCCGGAAAACCCGAAAAAAGAACGGCGGGGTTGAGAAGAACGATGGTTGAAAAGACTTGCGAAGTTGCTATGGAATGCCGTGTAAAGGGAAAACCCCTCCAGGAACCAAAGGGTGGGTTTCCCTCTCACCGTTGCATTGTTTGGGCTTACGAGGGGGGCAAGCAAACTAAGGCTTGGAATGAAGGATTATGTTTTTTGTTCTCTCTCTCTCTCTCTCTCTCTTTCTCCAGCATCCTGGAGGATTGTGTTGTTATGTTGTACTGTTGTTTCCCCCCATTTGGGGGATGTATTTCAGAAAAATCCTGGGTACGAGTACCGATTTACGTCGTGTTGGGCTTACTTGCTTTTAGTTCTCAAAAAGGCATTCCTTCTTGCATCTGGCTTTGGGTTTGCGCTTTTCTTAGTAAGATGGGTGCCGTGTCAAATTGAATTCCCGCAGGCAAAGTTCCACTAGGGCCTGGAAATTGGAAAAACAGGAGAAACAAAAAAAACAGCATGTAAATCTGGCGCCACATGGCCCATGTCAGGCCGAATGGTCCGGGAAATGGGGACCAAAAGGCTTAAAATCAATTGAGCAGAAAACAAAAGCAAATGCAAACCAAACAGCAAGCCCCAGATCCAGGACCTAGCCCCAGGCAAGCGGTCGCCAAGCGCCCCAAGATTTAGGCACAAAGGCAAGGCCGAGCTTGCACATCTTGTCAACGAACCAAACTTGCACACACCAAATCCAGCCAACTGCTGAGGCGCGATTAAACTAACAACGCATGTAGAATACATACAACGGGGAACTAGGAAAAGCAAAAAGGAAAAAGACAAATCAATACCCTTGACGTATTAAAAACAAAGATGTGCTCTTCACCAAAAGGCTGTGGCCCTGAACTTCTCATAGGCTTAGACGCTGTCCTGTTGGAGAAGGAGAAGCCCGTTCCACGGTTGAAGCCAATTTACTATGCCAACTGGGGAACACATTTGAGGTGTGTTCAATGGTAGGGCATTCATTTGGATGGCATACACCAGATTGCCAGCAGCATGCGACAGGCACTGCACAAGAATGACTTCTGGCAAACCGCATCGGCAGCGCGTCAAGCCTTGCGGTTCCCAGGGCCCGGCTTGGGCTGCAGCAGGCAGGGCCGCAGCTCAGCGGCAGCTGGCTCCTCCCACGCAAAGGGCAGGAAGGAGGACACGTGGCGCAGGTAGGTCAGGAGCCAACAGATCTTGAAACAGGAGGAGCTGCCTGGCAGTCACGCCATGTCACACATGTCACACATGTCACACGTCACACATGGCGTCTGGAGCGAGCGCCTGTATGCGGACATATTTGGCGACATCGGACACTTTGGCTCAGGTTGGAACGCCTCACCTTGCTGCAGGGTGCTGCCGTAGAAGCTAAGATACAAGAAGGCGATGCGGCAGACCGTCTCCGTGAAGGCATTCACATCAAAGACGGTGTCGCACTCCAACTTCACCTGAGTCAAAATCAAACCCGGTATTAAAATAGTTGACCCAGAATCATGTAAGGAAATACGAAGGCGGCCGCAACTATTTATGTCTGGGATTGTCCCTTACTAACCTTCATCTACCCAGGTTTTGATTGTGGCTTCACCTCGGAGTCCTCCGTGAAGTTGGAGACAGTGGAGTCCCTCTTCCGCTCCTCGAAGAGGCTCTCGCTCTTCGGCTCCTCGGATATGCCTGAGGGCCGGGGGAAACGACCAGTTCTGTGATACAACAGAAAGGGCTTCCCACAGACTAACCCCTCCATATAAAGGGGGAGATTCCGTTGTATCACAGAAGTGGGGATGGACCCCTCTATCCCACCCTGTGCCTGAGAGGCTCATCATGCTCATGCGCGACACCGCGGGCGACGCCGACGAGGCCGCCGAGGGCGCCGACAGCGAGGGCCCGGAGACGCCGGAGGGCGGGTTCGAGGTCCCCCTGCGGCTCCGCGCGGCGGTGTTTTGCCCGGCCTTCCGGGCCTTGGGCGGCTGTTTGGAGAGCTCCCGGCTGCAATGGGGCGGCAGAACCCCAAAGCACTCTGCAGCGTTGTAGGCCTTCCGCAACTGCTGCTCGCTCACGAGCTGCGGGACTAGGTGAAAGTCCGCACAGAATTGCCAGAGCTCCGTATACTGCATGTGCCCGCTCGGCGCGTATCTCTCGAAGAAGGCTTGAAACACGGCCCGATGAACGAAAACCATATCTAGAACTTCAGGCTCGATGAGCATCGCAGAAATCAGCCTCTCTCGAATTGCCGCATCCCTTGCCTTTATGCGGCCCTTAGCCTCAGCATCATGGGCGTTCGGCGCGCTCGGCGCGCTCCCCTCCTTCTCGGGCTTGCCCTCCTTCTCCTGATAGGCCTTGAGCTTCTTCGCACCCTGCTTCATGCGCTCCAGCACCTCCCCACGGCTGGAAACATCGCAGTGCTGCCGCACGATCGCATCCAGCAAGGAAATCAGTCTGAATCGATTGACCTCAGGATTCGACTCTCACCTTTGCCCTCCCGGCCTTTCCGCGCAGGAAGCACGGGCTTCCCCCGACCCCCGCAAAACCCCCCGACCCCAGCCAGGAGGCCACCAAGTGAATCGGCGCCGTTGCGGCATGGTGCGCGTGTGGCGGGCAGAGCCGGGTGGGCTGGGCCAAGCTATCGAAGAGGCAGACTGCCCAGTAGTAGGGGACCCTTTGCTGGTCCACCAGCTCCAGATCGAAGAGCAGGCGGCAGAAGGTTGGGCGATCAATGCCCATAGTCAAATTGGACCGCGTCGAGAGACACCATCTTTGCGCGCACTTGGCAATCACCAGGACTTCCGCCTGAATGAAATTCCACGACATCTGCGATCCTTCGATGAAGTTCTTGTCCAGCAAGAAGCCATTCTGCCGTTCGATGGACTGCTTCTCGGCGGTCTCTTGCTCATCCACCATGTCCAAGGGGATCAAACTCTTGGCGCTGACCATCTTCGGCAACGCCTCCTCAAAGTCCGGGATCTCCGCAAAAAGTAGGCTCAGGCGGCGGTGGTCCACGTCCGCCGTGCGCAAGCGCTCCTCCTCCTTGACCTCAAAACGGATTTGATCTCATGGCGGCCCATTTTTCGCCTCAGCCTTGTGGATACCAGCTACGGCGGCCAAAAAACTGGGGTCACGGATTCTTAGAAAGGGCGTCAAAATCCGTCAGTCAAGGGAGGTTCTCATGGCATCGTGATCCCCAGCCTCCAGAAGCAGCTTCTCCGCCTTCTCCCGAGTCAAAATGAGGTCCTGAGGCAGGACGCAACAAGTTGACGCTTTCAGCTTCCCGTTGAGTGGTGGTTCGGTTTGGCGGTTTGGAAGTGCGGGGGTGGCTTTCCATTTCTGCAAGACCCGAGACTTCAAATCCCCAAACCTGACACGTCAGACGAAAAAGGCAAAAGAAAAACCATCGGCTCTGCAGGAAGGGAGATCGAAAAGGGATGTGTGGGGCTTAAACTGCTAAAATGCTGGAGCTCTTCCTTGCCAGGGAAGGCCTTGTGCTCTTCAAAAAAACAAACATCCGCGGTCAGCCCATATCACAAATGTCACTGCCTCCCTGCCACACTTAAACCAAAACGGTCCCAAACATGCATCAAACCGTGCCCCCCAGGGCTGACCATCGCCCCCCCCCCACCCCCCCCCCCTTGGCCCATCGCCCCATCGGCCCATGGGCCCATCGCCCCGCGTCCTTGGCCCGGGCCTCGGAGGCGGCCAAGAAGGCCTTGGAGCCTGCGGAAGCTTCCGACCGCCTTCCCCACAGCCGGGTGCTGGGGGAAGCCGGGGTTTCTAGGACCCCAGCCCCCCAGAAAAAAAACGAGGGGGGGAACCTAAAGTGGGTGGTAGAAGACATAGGGGAAACCCAAAGCAAACTAAAACCATATATTGTTTGGCCTGCTTGGTGGAAAGCCAAGGGGAACCTGAAAAAGCAAAACAAATGAAGAAGGGGAGCTAATTGCGGGGAAGGGTGTGGCTCAAAAGTCAACAGCTGGGGATACGCAGGTTTTAGTCTACTGTCTCATTTGCCAGGGTTCCATTTTGGACCCCAGTTTTAGAGCCACACCCACATGAAGCAAGACGGTGCAAGGAATTTCACAGCCCGCACAAAAAAACAAAGCATGGTCATGCACACTGCTTCAGGGCAAACTTGTTCAAACTGGAGTCCTTTCAGTTTCTGATTCACTTCAAGGTTTGGGGTGAAGTGTTTATTTGGGCCTTTTGTGGCACATCATAGCAGCGTGTAGGTTTCTCGACACCTGTTTGCACCTGTAGGTTGGGGGTGTGGTGAACCCACTTGCTTGACCCTGCCTCCTACCATACCCTTGTCGTCCTCCAGGCTGTCGCTGTCCAGGCTCTTCTCGCTCTGCCTGGAAGCCAGCTGAGTGGAAACGGAAACTGCTCCTTGCCACCAATCATTTGGCCATGGTTCAAAACCAATGGTACCCTTTTGGGATAGGTGCACCACCCATTTTAGTCTATTTTAGTGGGGATTGGGATGTTCACTGGGGGTACGGGGTTTTGACCCATGGCCATTTACCAAGTCCACGGTGAGCGGTCAGCCAACTGAGCGGCCAAGCCGTGCAAAATAAACTAGCTGAGTTATCTTAACTGTTTGTTGGATTCGTGTTCTGGCCTGTGCGCCCTTGCCCACGGCAAGAAGAACACGGTCCAAACAAAAAAACTTTACCAGGTCAGCAAGCAAGCTGCTTGTCCTTCTTCTCGCCCTTCGCTCTGTCAGCGTGCATGTCAGAGTCCGCCACGGAGGCGTGCAGGTCACTTGTGGAACCAAAAGTGAAGCCAACCTGCGAGTTCTGCTTGGCAGCGAAGCTGATGCTCAGTCGCTTGAAGTGCGGCCCGCCATAGACGTTGAAGAAGTCGCTCAGTCGCATCTGGGCAAGTTGACCCCTCAGTCTCTGATTGCCGGCGACATCCGCCTGCATCAGCGAAGCCGCAGCAGAGCCCCACTCCGAGTCTGAGATGCGCAACGCCGCGCTCATGGCCGTGGAGGTGCTGAGGTTGAAGGTGTCATCCTCTGGCTCCAGCGGATCCAGCGGATCCAGCGTGACGCTTTCTTGAAGGCTGCGGGCGCTCAACGGCGGCCGCCCCACAACCTGAGCGCCGCCCCGGTCCGGAGCCCGGGCGGACTGGGGCTGAGTGCTTCGAGCGCCCGGATCGAGGCTTGGGAGGACCAAGGCGCTCATGGCTACGCCATCAGCCCAGACATGGCATGCAGTTCTGCAGCGCCGATGTCCGGAGGGAACCTCTGAGTTACTGTGTCAACAGCTGGGAACACGCACACACACACACACACAAGCAACCGTCGGCCTAGTTCAGTAGCACCTAGATGTACCCATTTGATGTCGGAGGTGATGACAACATGTGCCAAAACAACAAATATCGCTGAGCGCTATATCATGCAGATATTCCGCATAGAAACCAGGACTGCTCGAGCAAACCGTTCGAAGCCGTGACTCGAGCGCCCCTGCCCCAAGTGACGGGGTTTCGGCTCCTGCCCAAGGGAAATTGCGCCGGCTGCGCAATGGTGTGCTCTTCGTCGATGGGCACCAGCAGCTCGAGGAAGACCTGTGACAGCCCGGAGGCCTACTTCGGGTCCGGTGCTTTCGGCTTTGTGACCCATGATATGAGGGCGCCCTTGTTGGCTGTCTGCTTCCAGCCACCCTGAACAGAGCTTGACGCCATGTACCGTGCTTTCCCTCCGACTTAGAATGGTAGACACCCCCATTCAACGGCATGGGCTCGGCCGGCTCGGGCCAGTCCTCACACCCAACTGAACGGCCCTCAAAGGCCTCGCCGATCGCCATGATCTCCGAGTTTCGGCTTTGCGCCACTTGCCATCTCAGCGTGCTGGTCCTGCGGATGTCCAAATCAGCCCTCTGCCCAAAGAAGGGGAGACCCTCTTTTGGCAGTTGCGAAGAAGCTTGAGGCGACCGGTGGGGCGTCCCCAATTCCACTTTTCCAACCATGCCTTCCAGCCAGGCAACTCCCCCTGCCATGACATAAGCAAACAGCTGCCACGTGACACCTCCAAGAATGGAAGGACAAGCAGGAAGTACGTCATGAAGCAAGCACCAAAGACTCCCAAAGACTGTCAAAGGAGTTGATTGTTTGATCTACGTGGCCTTGTTTCTTTTTCTTTGTAGCCCTGGACTTTAGGGTCACCCGCGTCTCAAGCTACCCGCTTAGAGGTCCTGCTCACAGGCGTCTCCGGGATGGTGATCCACACGCCTGATTGCGGCACCTGCCGGAAACCGAGAGGCCAAAGAATGACGTTCGAGAAACAGCCCCCAAACGAGCCCAGATTTATTTTTGCAACCTTTGGAAGACTTCCCTGTCAGTGAGGGTAAACCATTTCAGGACTCCGGCTTTGATTCTTGAAAGGATAATAATATTCGGTCATACACCAGGCCCTTTCACATGTCCAACTTGATCCATGGGGAGTTCCCACTGCCTGGTTAAAGGAACGAGCTGGGATCGAAAGACACTTTAGACCACGCCTGTCCCCCAAATTCCAGTGCCAAAAAAAAAAACACACGATTACCGGCACCAGGCCGATGAGTTTCTGAGGACAACGGTCGAAGGCCGAGCACGCCTCTCTGCCGGCTTGACAGCCGCCATATGCGATGCCGCCATCTCCGGTACTGTTCGGAGCACCGAACCTCGACAAAGAGATGAGCAGAGCCTTCCCAACCATAGGTGTCCTTTTGGGGAAAATAGATGGCCCTGGTAGTTGATTGAACCACCAGGTAAACCAGGGCCCTCTTTTTCTTAACCAAATCAACCAAAAAGGACACCTATGTTCCCAACCGTTGCATCCGAAAAAATTGGATGCAACCACGACTGAGGTGATTGCATCACATATCCATCATGGGTCGCATCTAGAAGCTCATCCTCAGTGGCTCAATGTGAGCTCTCTGTCCAATGAGCACTCTCACAATCGCATGTAGAAAGGCCCTGGCAGTGTCGTCAGACTCGATGAGGGCATGCACGTCCACATCAGGATTACTGCCCAACTCAGGCCTGAGTGGAACAGTCCTAGGAATTCGCTCTGTCCAAATAACCTGGAACGGCATCTCCCCGAGTTCCAGGCGAGGACGCATTCAAGCAGTAGCGCAGGTCACAATTCCGTGCGCTCTCCCTGTAGTTGATGAGGTTGCAGAAATCTTGGCGTGGGCTGCGGGCGGCGGGCGTGCACGTGCATGTACACTTGGATGGCGCAACAAGCTGTCACCCTCATGATGACTGGCAGGGGCTCACTACTCCCTCGATTGTTATTTATTGGGTACTTCTCAAACCGGAGTCCCCTAAAATTGCAAGCGCTTCCTTTTGGCTCCCTTTCAATACCAAACAAAGCAGGGTTCACCATTTTGAGAAGCTCCCCAATGCTCATGTCACATGCGCCATGCGACCTGGACTCTCGCCCGAGTCCGGCACAGTTCTCGCGGCAGGCCTAAACTGGGCTGGAATTAGGACCCCAGCAAGAATCTAGAATCTAGATTTGTTGCCTGGTTAGTGGAAAACAAAGGGGACCCCAAAAAAGAACAAAAATCAAAAGGGGAGCTAATTCTGGGGGAGTGAGCACAAGGAGAATGAATCTGAAAACGCAGGCAAAATTTTCTTGCTTTTCCGGCGTGTTTGTCCCCAAGCCGAACCTCGCCATCTGTGCCATCCCCCCAAGCCCCAATTCAAGTTCCGAAAGCTCTAGCACAAATTGCTGGAGGGTGCCCAGCTTTTGACCCTGCTCTTTAAACCTGTTGACCAGTTTTGTTGGCATTGGTCCAAAGGATTTTACTAGGACCAAGCAGATAATGGCTGACTTGTACAAAGACGGGGCCCCGCCAAATTAGACAAACACAAACCCACCACCCCCACGCCATGCCTCCTTGCAAGCCTCCACGCTCGCACGTCCTGCCGTAAAGCCCCAAGCCCCCGCGCCGCCGCTCACATCTGCCAATCGCGACTGAGATGTCTTGACGTTGAAATGGTCCGCCCAGAACCATGTAAAGAGTTGAAGAAGCGGCCGCACCCTGGCTGGGATTGTCCCTTACCCTCCAATAACCCGCGTTTTGATTGTGACTCCCCGCCAAGTCTGAAGGATGCCTCGGTCACCATCTGGCCCCACGCGCTCGCAGTCCACACCTGCTGGCGCCAGTCTCCATGCGCACAGCGCGGCATGGGAGTTTCTCAAGCTCTGCGCCTTCCGCTGACATGCCAAACCCAAGCTGAGTGAAGTAGCTCCTTACCAGGCGGGGTTCAGCACATGCCGAAACAGTCCGACTCATATCAGGCCGAGAAAAGTGTCAGGCAACAGGTAGTTTCTTTATTTCCTGACAGTCGCAACTAAAAAGATGCCGCTTTTGCAACCTGTAGAACGGCGGTTTGCTTCGAAATTGTGTCGTGCGACCTGAAGAACACGATGTCGGTGTGCAGCGTCGCTGTCGGTTTTTCCAATGCATTCTCAAGATGGAAGGGGCCTCAACGGATGGGTGTGTGAATGACATGATGTCCCTCCATTCGCTTCTCTGTGAGCGAAAGGAAGGGATAGCATCATGCCCACATGTCATCCCCAGCCTCATCTCCACGGCTGGGAAGGAGGACATGATCCAATATGAACCCATCCAAGCCTTTTTGTCGTGTGGCTTGGTCAGCGGATACCTTTCCCTTCTCTCTATCCCTTCCACATCTCTTCGTTCGTGAGGGATAGGGAAAGGGTTCTCCGCGGCCAGATTCTTAGAGCCGCGACATGAGAATTGGATGAGATTAGATGGTTGGGAGAAAGGAATGACCCAACCCACCCTCATCCATCCCCTTCCTTCTCCTCCGTCGTCTCCAGGTGATTACATGGGATGGAGAGGTAAGGAGAAGATAAGGATGGAATGGAATGGTGTGTGCTGAGTCTTTCCCATTCTCCATCCTATCCTTGTCACATCATATGATTAGGAATTAACTCCAATTATAAATCTATTATTGTATTTTGTTTTTATTAGAATTATTTGCATCAGGTTCTTTTCATCTCTAAACCACTTCATCTTTATTAACTGCTTTTCTATTTACCTTTCCTTTGCTTGGTTATTTGATGTCATTTTTATATTGTTATTTTGATTATTATTGCAAAGATTTATAGTAACAGAGTTACATTGCATCCAAATATTCCAAATGATTTTTTATTGATTACAGGGAATGGGAAATCATTTGTCTTTTCTCTTCTTCTTGGTCAAAATCCTTTAAGATGCGACACCATAAGATCTCTCTAGACATGACATGGGATAGGGAAAAGAGATGCATGAGGTGAAAAGATAGTGAGGATAGACGTATAGAATAGCTTTCCTGTGGCTTACCATTGACCATCAAAGAATCATTTCCATAATTAATATAAGATAGTAAAATAGCCCTTATTATATGCCAATATTATATTGATGAAGATATAGAGAAAGAAGATAATGAAAGATGATAGGAAAGACACAGGAAATCATAAAGTGAATTGCCTTCTTTCTCCTTTGTTGGCTCCGGGAATTTGGAGGAGCTATCCCATTCGCTCGTGAGTCATCTCTTTGTAATAGCTGCCCAACGGTGAGTCCATCCTATCTTTGCCATTGACCAAGTGACAGAGTGGAGCCAGGTCAAGGATTTCTTTTCTCCAATCCACATTCCTCCACCTCTACCTCCTGGCTCTTCCAACCGCCAGGAAATAGACCAAGAGATATAATCCTATCCCTCTCTCGCCTCTCTATCACCGGCGGAGTGGATAGGTGAGTGACATTGGGAACCGCTCCAGAAGTAATAGATGGAAGCGGGAGGAATTAGAGATGGAATGTGGGGTCACTTCTTCCTTCACTCGCGGCTTAGGGAAGAGACCTGACACACAGCCGCTCCTCACCATGAAGGAAGTGACACAGGATTCTCTTTCTCCGTCTCCTCCCTATCATTGACGGAGAGAATCCTAAAGGTAACAAATAATCCTGGAAATCGAGGGAGATGTCGCAAGTTGTCTTTATGAGAATGCTTTTCCTTTTCTTTCCTATTCCCTCGATTCAAGGATTTGGAAGTGTGTGGTGTGTCTCTGAGAATTCCTGGAATGAACGGTTACGACGGAAGGGAGTGAGAGACCGTGAGTGACAGGGGGAATCCTCTACCGCTCCCCCTGGCGACAGTGGCATAACCAGTCGGCTTAACTTTCTGGATCCCTCTTCTCCCTTTCGCTGCTTGTTTATTTGTCGGTGTCGTCGGTGTGTCTTGTGCTGGCGTGCGACTGTGTGTGCGTGTGTGTGTGGGGTGCATATCTCTGTGTGTGTGTGTGTGTGCATGCGTGCGTGCGTCTTTGCGCACATGTCTGCATTTGTGCTCACACATCTGTGTTACCCTCACTTTACTTGGGTTTACGTTTGCGCTTGCAAACGAGCGTGGGGGAGTGGGGGCGAGCGTCAGTCCTGGCTGGGTTGGGCTCGTCCCAGTGCGTCTGTCTGGCGCCACCCCGGCAGTCATCCGCCAAGTCGTCCGCACTCAACTCAGTCACTGTTGCTGCGGGCAAAACACCTCCATGCTTCGCTGGGGCTGGGGAGGCCTGGAGATGACAACCAATGCTGATCCCAAATAACCACCTGTATCACGGGACATTTCAGGAAATGTTGGGGCTCCATGTGCTATGCTTATGCAGCTGAAGCTGGGCGACCAACGCTGTACTCCAAGAAGTACCCACGAACTGCCACCTTCAAGCTCAGTCGCACAAGGGCTCCTGACATCTTTGCCAGACATGGGCCCCGGCGAAATCGAAAGGAACCCTGGCGTCCACCCGAATGGACGGCAGACCTGCAGCACAAACACACGTCCTGAGTGCTCAGTGCACTTAAACCCTCTGAGATCGCTGCTGGTTGCACATCCGTCGGTCACATTGCAGGGGGCAAAAGCCATCCTCAAGGCTGTATGAATGGCACGCATGGGTCTCCAAAACGCCACCTGGCTCTTAGCAAATTCATGTTGACCCATGTTAATCAACCCCAGTTTGTTAATAGGGGGTGTCCCTGGGTTTAGTGGGGAATCATCACGTTTGCACCCCTATCCATAGCATTCACCCACGAGAAATGACAGAAACTCGTCCACTGCCAGAATGATGCACCACACACAAACGCAACGACTTCCTTTGAAAGAAGACACGGCCCGATGATGTGCGAGGGCCCCACTCCAGCACAGTCCCGTTGGAATAGAGCTTCACGGCGTGCTGCGGCTGGTTCCCCGCCTCAACATGGCCACTCGGGCCGCGGCTCGTGCATGCTCCAACCCCCTCACCTGTTCTCATAACGGTGTGGCTCGAAATGAAAGAGCAGGTTTTAGTCTTTGGTTCCATTTACCAAGGAGCCATGTTTTGGCACATTTTTCTGAGCCACAGCCATATGTCCTTTCTACCCCCGGCGGGAGCTCGCCTAAAACCCGCACCACCCAACCCCCGTCCAGCCGAGGCAGCCGCAGGTCCCGGCCTCAGGCTGCACTCCGCCACCGGCCACCGGCGCCACTCTCGGCGACTCAGGCGGCGGCGTGGAGGACCAGGACAGCACGCACCGCCCCAGGTCCTCGCCAGTGAACGGAACCTCAGACGGGTGATGTGGTGATGTTTCCGCTCCCCTCCACTCCGGCGGCGATGTCCGGTCGAAATGGGTGTGCCACTTTGGTAGCTTTATCTCAACCAACTGGAGGCTGCTTACAAATTACGACACATTGGAAACGCTTCTGCTTCTTTTGCAGCAGTTGGCAGTCTTGAGGCCCCTACCCACTCGGGGCTCGGAGGTGCCAAGTGCACATTGGACAGCGGGAGCATCCTGGGCCGCCCGGGTCGCCTTCTGCACAGCTCCACGTGCTCCCAGCAAACAGTAAGGCAAGCTCTTGCGCAGTTGTCCAACGCAGACCGTGCATGTCAACATCATACGCATGAGGTACGTTATGGGAAACTGTGGCGACATGCGTGAAAGCAAGGCGCCCTCCACGTTATTGAGGGTGCCTGCTTAAGCAGGCGCGCCCGCATCGCTGCAGATCATGTCGAGGACCCGAGGACCCGACTTCACGGCCGCCCCACGAATTGCCAGCCACTGCCCGTCCTGGCCGGAGGAAACCAACGTCCAAGCTGCCAATTGGCGGATCCGGATCTGATCCCAGCCTGCGAGAAGGAAAGGCCCGCCTGCGCAGGTTAAAACCGGGGATCTTCTGCCAGGCCGGGTGTGAATCGACCACAGGGGTTGATCAAACGGTCCTTTACACAGGGTGGCCATTCAAAGAAACCACGAAAATGATGCTATTTCCCACTACATACATGGGGAACATGTCATTTGGGGGGCCAGGAATATTGATCGACCCCCACATGTTTCACGCCTAAGTGGAGGTAGCCCCTGGAAGCCCCCCACTCCCAGTCCGTGGACTGAGGCAGCCACCATAGCAGCAGAGTGCGCCCGGCTTTCACTCTCCAGCGCGGGCCTTGGTGGGCGCGCGGGAGCGCCAGAAACCAACCAGCACCCGCAAGGGACACGTCACTTTGAGATATGCCTGCCCTGCTCAAACTCCCCAGCCAGAAGGCCCATCCCAAATTCGGCTTAGAGCTGGCATACCGCAGTCTGTCAAGCCCGCAGAAACCTGCAGTTGCCACGTAAGCCGCTACGAGATCACCGAAGCCACCTGCCGTCAACGTCCGGCGCCGGGTGTTGGAAGGCTCCTCATTTCTCAGCCCGCTGCTGGAAGGTGCGCACCTGCACAGTCGCAAACCTCACTCATAATCAAAACCCGGTACTAAAATGGTCTACCCAGAACCATGTAAGGAATCAAGAAGGCGGCCGCAGCTATTTCTTGTTGGGATCGTCCTTTACTAAGCTTCATCTAGCCGGGTTTTGATTGTGGCTCACCTCAAAGGCAAGAGAGAGAGCGCCCACCAGGCCTTCACAGCCGTCTCTGCGTTCCACAAGGCGCCCATCCCGCCTCGGCCTGAGTGGAACACCCAAGACGAGGCTCACAGACAACACCCGCCCTTAATCGCTGCTTTGTGTGGGTTCCACGTCGGTTTCAGTCGGTCATGCACGCTCCAGGTCGGCGCCTGCTGCTGCGAACCACAGCCCGTCGAGCGAGAAGGCCACAGCCTTCGGCCGCAACTCTGAAAACAAAAAGGGGGGGTCAACGTCAAACTGGGCGAAAACATCAGACTGGCAATCCATCCCGCCCATCCCACCACTTGATTTATGTGTTTGAGGCAATCCGAACTGGGGGAAGAGCCAAGATGGCGACGTTCTTGCCCAGCGCGGTTTCCTGGCGAGGAAGCCCTGCAACTCTTCTTGATCCCTGGGACATGTGGACTGGCCGCACAGCCCAGAAACCAGCAGCCCGCCAAATCAAGACGCAGCCGCCCCAAAGACCCTCCAAAAACCTCAAGCCATTTGGCTGTGGGTGGGATCCCATTTTGGTTGGTAGGTGAATTCATCTACCCATTTTAGAACCTATTTTAGTGGTTAGATTGGGAGTTCACCAAGGCGATGACCTTTTCACCCATGGCCATTTGCGCCTGGCAAAGACCCAAAGCCTCACTCCACCCCTTGGCGTCCTCCCGGAAGCTGCGCAGCGGCGCGGCGCTGGAGGCCTGGCCTCGCGCCGAAACCGAAGGGCCCAAGGTGGCGTCTCTGGTGGTCTAATCGCATCTTCCAGGCACCCTTCCACCAAGAAGGCGCCCTTGCTTGAGTCGTTGAGTCATTGAGGGCACCTCCCTTTCCAGAAAAAAAAAGGAGCACTCATATGTGGGAGGGCACCTGGAAGATCATATTTTTGCCTTGGGAGCCCCTGTCAGATGCTAAGGTGGGAGTGAGGGTACCTATCCACCCAGAGTGAGCGACCTGGGCCTGATGGCCCAAGGATGATCAGGAAGCTTTGCCTAGTTTGACGGCGCTTTTTCTTCTGCTCGCCGAAATCTTGCCGCGGGATCTTCACGATCCGCGGCGCCGTGCTGTCCTTTGGACAGATGGCCGCAAGAGGTTGAGATCAGAGAAATCTGCACAAATTGGCAGACCTTCAAGGAAGAATGCATCATGTGTGAGCTACTGGAATATGCGCAGACAGCACAAAAGCGAGAGAGAGAGAGAGAGAGAGAGAATGCTGGAAAGAGTGCAGAGGGAGAGCTAGAGAAAGAGACACTTGGAGAGAGCAAGAGAGAGAGAGAGAGAGAGAGACAGTGGGAGACAAAGACAAAGAATGAAATATAGATAGATACATAGATAGATAGGTAGGTAGATAGATAGATAGATAGATACAAAGCAACAAAGATGCCTTGGGCATTCATGCAACGCATGTGGTCGCACTTGCAACAAGCCTTGCAACTACGAATGCCGCCCACGTCCGGGCACGCATTTGGAGAGCCATTTGGTGCCACAATGTATCACACCACGGGCTCAAACTGGGGGGGCAGGTCCTCCTCTGTGACTCGTGCGTCGCATGACTTCTTCGAAATCTCCGAGGGGGCCTCTGAAGCCGGCGCCTTCCCCGCTTCGCCCTCCTTCCACGACAGGAACCGAAAGAGGAGCGTGAGCAGGGTGCCGTCCACCAGGAGGAACAAGCTGTACAAGAGAGGGAAAACGGCCATGGTTCGGAAGCGTGGGCCCTCGAAGGAGAAGGCCAAGATGGACAAGGCCAGAGTGCTGTTTTGCAAACCTGTCTCAAGGCAAATGGTGCGACAAGCACTGACAGGAAGCCTGGCAAGACGGGAGTTGACGTAGCCCATCGTGCCGCCAATCGGCATCAGCACCGCGCTTGCCACCCAGAGCTTCCAGCTCTCTGAAAACAGGTGCAGGTTCGTGACAACTCCGGCCACCAAGGCGGCTAAGATAAACACCGAGCCCACCGCAGAGGCGGCCTTCTCCAACCAAAACGCCGCCCTTGGGCTGAGATATCTCAGCCCAATGCCAAGCCCCACGGGCACAATGACCTCGACTCATGTCTGCACGTTCTTGTGACAGCTTTAGGCAAGCCGTTACGATACTTTGGGCCCCCTTTCTTTGAATAAAGTCCCTCCAGCTATTGTCTCACCAACCACTGGCACCATACGGACAATGCACCAAGGATATCGGAGAGCAAAGCAGTGGAACTGCGCTTGTGGTGCCTGGGTGCCCCTTCCTGCACCATCCCTGCACGCGCACACACAAAATATGCGCACACATATCAATATGATACTCCATTACTCCATCCATCCATCCATCCATCCATCCCTCCATCCTTCCTTCCTTCCTTCCTTCCTTCCATCCATTCTTTCTTTCCACCTGTCTCTCCTGCCATCCTTCCACCCCCCCCCATCCACCTCATCCTGCCATCCTTCCATTCATCTTCCAACCTTCCATCCGTTTATCCTTCCATCCACACCTGCTCGCATGTTTGCGAAGAGTCATCCGGCACCCTCTGCTTCCTATGTTGTAGCACGTCAACGAGACATGAGCACATGACATTGCAGCGCATCACGTTGCACTACCCATTGTGAAATTTTGTCACATACACCAATACAGAACCATACGTCGCATTGGCTTACTATATGAGGTTGCGACCCCCCCCCCCAAAAAAAAAAAAAAAAGCTTCTATCAGATAGATTCGATGACAATCATGCTGAGGCGGGTCACATTGCATTCTCCATCCAGCACGTTCCTTCTGCTTAATCTTCCGTATGCATTTGCATCATACTGAATTGCATCAAATACACGTGCCTATTGCGGCACCACAGCTACGATGCCTTACACTGCGCTGACGTGAGAAACACGTGCATGCCATAGTGCAAACATGCAATACACGCATACAAACATACAAAATACAAGCATGCAGCAAACACACATGCATACGCACTAACATGCTTATGTAATACAAAACAAATCATCGCATCATTTCACATGACATCACATAGCGGCATGGATGTGCGGCTAAATCAGCGTAGGGCAGAGTAAATGCATGTTTATCTTGTTCAGTCTTTGTTTGACACGTCATGGTCCCCAAATGCGCTCATATCGACCAGCTGCACTCACCTGCATGACCATGCATACAGCTTGAAACCACCGACCTTCCCATTTAAGGCCATCGCCATGGCCAAAGGAGCGATCAAACTGCCGAAGGGGATCTTGACATGTTCGTCGGTAAATGGCGGGCTGTAGATGTACAGGCAGAGGGGCATCATGCCCACAGAAAACAGTGTCGAGAGCGTAGTGGCCAGGACTGACAGGGGGACATCTGCGCGGGAATAGTATGCAAAGAGGTTGCTCGTCGAGCCTCCGGGAGAGCAGCCGACCACCAGCATGGACAGGCCATGCTCATGTTGGACGTCCAAGGCCAGGGCCAAGCCGAAGCAGATCAACGGCATGAAGGCAAACTGGCACATCAGCGCCACCAGAGGCGCCTTCCACATCCGTATTGCCCGTTTGAAATCGGACACAGACATGGCAGCTCCCAACCCAAGCATGAGCAAGACCACCACCAAGCCGAGGATTACTTGCACAAGATCCATGGCTCCGGCGCGGTCGCGGCGACTCAACTTCAACCTGTCCTTGGCCCGAGCCTTTCCGCAAGTTGCCCTATGAACCCGCAGTCAACCACAAACCTGAGGCTTTTGCCATGCATCTTGATCCAACTGGCAAGCGCCTCCTAATGCGCCCAACAAAATGTCACTAGGCGCTCGCCGCTTGCCTGCGGAAACGACCTGCTCGAGGATGAACCATGCAATGAGATCCTCGGCTGTCCCCTCTGCATCTCACTTGCACCAGGCTCAAAGGCGCATACATCGTCCCCGCCGGTCGCAAGGATGGGACCATGCGAACCTGCAAGGCTCAACCCACAAGCAGAACAGTCGAGAGGCGTTCCACCTACTGCGGCAGAGGCCAGCGAAAGGACAGCCCGGGTATGCAGTGACACCTCACGCCCACGTCACCAAGAGGTCAATTGCTTCAGCCAACTCAGTCCAACAAAGTCTCCACAACTTTCCGGAGGGTTTCCACCCGCATGGCCCCAGACCGTTGCCAGAGGATCTGGAGAAAGAGTCCTGAAAGCTTTGCGCGACCCAGCGCTCAGAAATGCAGGACCCTTTGGAAAAAACTGTCTTCCCGCGTCTTGGTTGCTGGAAAACTTCTGGATTTCCCCAAAAGTTAAAGTCTAAAGATCCAACCCAATAGCAGTCAAGGCATGAGGGGCGTGGCGAGGCTCCTGGCATCCCAGATCTTCACGTGGGTGTCAAAGGAGGCGGTGGCCAGCACCGAGCCGTCAGGCCTCAGGCGACCCAAGCCTTGTAGAAATTTGGTGAAGGGGTGGTGAAAAGTCAACAAACAACTCGGGGCCCATGTCCAAGGAAGGGCCCAACAATAGTTCAGAAGTTGACTGGCCTTGAAAAGTCCACTGCATAATTATCTATTCCCACTCGGGCCTTTCTGCCCGAGCCAAACCCCACACAGCTGACGGTTTCATGGACCGCACATTGACATGCTCCCCATGGCACACCTTTTCCGTGGCTCTCCGGACCCGCACGGCCACCAGCCCATTGGCCAAGCCATCCACCTCCGGCCGCCCAGGTTTCGGGCGAGCAGCGCCCTGCGCGCTGGGTCGAGGCGCACCTCGAAGGCCGCGCTGGTGCGCGCCGCGTGCGCGGCGCAGCTCACGCGGTGGATGCAGCACGACACGGGCGGCACCACGCCCAGCGAGGCGGCTTTGGCCCATTCCGCGCCAACTATGGCGACCCATGCGGCGGGTGCCCCCGCATCCACCCATCGCGCGCCCTGCTGCACTTGGAGACCTTCGGCATCCGCAGTCACCAGGGTCACCAGGCCCGGATCTGCGTGTGGAAGACAGCCGATCCAGCCCTCCAAGCGCTGAGGATAATGGAAGATATCAAGGACCTGGGCTGCATGCACCCAGCGGTCTCCCCGGCCGACGACTAATCGCTCCAAGCGGCGGAATCATGATCTTGGCCGGCCGGCGCCAGCCACCTGCACATCTACTCGACAAGTCCACTACAAAAAAAAAAAAATCAAAGGGGGGGTTCTCCGAATTCCGCGACGGGCTAGGGGGGGCCAAAGAACGTGCCCTCACGAAGCGAAACGCTTCTGAACGCGAGCGAGAAGCTGTGCAAGGCCCGGAGGGAGCTGCTGCCGTGCCGGGCCCTCCAGCGCCGCCCAAAGGGTTTCTGCTGCGGCCAAGCCCTGGCAGCTTGGTGGGTCATTGGGAAACCCCTTGAATATAAATCCATAGGTGATTTTGATTGGCAGGGGTGTCTCTTAGTGGGAACCCGGATCACCTTTCCGAGTAGCAGCCTCTCTTTTGGCAGGATAGAGGCTTGTGAAAAACGCGCGCCCGCCTCCAGGTCTGCAGCAGAGGGCTCGCGCACCGGCTCCTCGGAGCCTCGCAGAGCAAGGACGCGCCGTGGTTAGAAGGCAGGGCGGGCCGGGCCTTCTGCTTCTCCGCAGATTGTGCACCCCAGCGCCTCCGTGCAACTGCGAGTTTCTTCGCTTTTGCGGTTTCACCTTTCGCCCAGTGCATCCAGGCCACAGCCAGACACTGCAAGAAGGACCTGCTCTTGGCCCTTTGAAGGCGCACTTGAGACCTCCAGGGGTGCCCGCTTTGTCAAGCCCAATGAAACGCAGCTGCACGCCCTTTGCTACCGGATATGGCTGCCTTTATCGAAGCCATTTGACAGGTTGTGAAAGATGATCATGAAAGACTGTGTAAACCAAAAAACGGCAACCATACGCCTGTCTTCGTAGTGCACCACCAGCACCTTGCTTTGTGGGCGCCGGGGACAAGCACGCGGGCAGCTAGCGGCTGTGCCACACATGCCACAAAAGTCCGATGGGCAAACCCCACCTGCAGCTGTCGTCTGCAGAAGCTGCTGCAGTGCTCGTCTCGCGATGCCTTTGGCATGCACCGGCCAGTTCGTTTGGAGTTGTAGCTTGCACAATTATTTGGGTGTGGGTCAAAATTACACCACTTGGGCACTGCAAATTGTGGCACGCGTGTCCATTTACCAGGTTGCATTTTGGGGTACCCTGCCTCCCACTAACATGGCACCGTGGGGGGGCACCTGAAAGATCAATTTCCTCTTACGGAATTTCCTGGCAGGTGCCACGTTAGTGCACCTATTTTTGCCCCCCCCCCCCCATTGATCGCTTCCCCTGCTCCAGGTCTCCTCGCTCACATCTTGCCGGGCGGCCGCGGCCCAGTGCCCTCGATCCGCGCCGAGCCAGCGCCCGCAGCAGCGGAGGGCGCACTGCCACCGCGCAGCCTGCAAGCAACCCGGCCGGTTCTCCAGTCATCCAGCTAAGCCCCAAAGCACCTAATGCACCTTCTTCACATTGCAAAAAGGGAGTGTTGGCTGGTTGGCTTTCATCCGTGTCTCTCGGTGAAGTTCCTTCACCTGATCCGCCTCTGTCCCCTTTAAAGACAGAAGGCGGTTTTTGCGGAACTCTGCGCACAGCTCACACCCCATCTCCGTCGTCAGCATGTCGGCGTGCTGCTTGAAGGTCGGGGTCCGCCACGATGCCGGACTCCACCAACTCCTTCGCCGACAGCAGGTGCAGGAGCGTCTGTCGTTCCGTACGCATCATGTGGTCATACCGCGCGGCAATCTGTGACTACGGCCCCTGGCGCCCTTCTTCCGCGAAGCCACCTCCATCGGCTTTTCGCCACCGATCAGGCCCTATGAGCAACCGGAGGTAGAGGCGGCGGTCTGTCACCGGGGAACGATTTGACTAATAGTCGACCACATTGGCTGGCACCACCTGTGCCTCGGCAATGAAGCGCGTTCCGCCGAGCTGAGACTTCTCGGAGTCCTCCTTGCCGACGGACGCGTCGAAGTAGCTGACCTGCCACCCTTGAGGTTCACAGGGGCCGCCTTCACCAACTCAAGCCACTCCTTGATGTTGAATCGGCTGTCCATCTCCTTCTTGAGCTTGATGAACCTCGGATCCTTTGGGTTGCCGCTGAGCATGCCGTCGTCCGCGCGCAAACCACACAGGGCGTAAATCTCGCCCGTCTTGTCAGGTACCACACCCGTGGCGCTTCTGCGCCGTAGATCGACTTCAGAACTCTCATAAGCGCACATGCCCTGAGAAGTCCCCTTCGTGCTCGGCAGGCCATGTGCCCGAACATAGCTCTCCTGCTGGGTCTCCCGCCCTGACAGGAAGGCGGCGCTCACGTCAAAGTCCAGAGAGCCCAGCCCTTGGATGCTGCGACCACCTTAATCAGACGGATGGCCACGGGGCGTCCGACCAGGTGCCACCAACCGGAACTTGGCTTGCAACTCCTCCTCCGCCGCTGCCGCCTTGTTGGTGCGCACCATGCGCAGCTCCAGCTCCTTGCCATTCGCCTTCAGCTTCAGCAGGTAGGTCTCTGACAGGGCCTGCATCTTTCTCTCACGCTGAAGCTCTGCATCGAGAAACCTCCCAAGTAGATATCCACGTGGTAGATCTCCTTGCCAAGCTGGATGTAGGTCTCTTTCTCCATCTTCGTCCCCGTCCAATCCGGCTATGGAAGACTGTGAGCCCCCCAATGAAGGGTGCCTTCTTCTTCCGAGCGGCCTCATCTCCATTCTCTTCCACCACCAGGATGTTTTTGGGATCCTTGCCGATGAGGATCGGCCTGTTCTTCTTCTTGCCGCCTGAAATTCTGGCGTGGCTGCAGATGCACTCTGGCACTGGTCACCGGCAGACCCATCAGCTCACGCAGGATCTAGATCACCCATTTCCGCTCTTGTGGGAAGAGTCACAGGTCAGGTTGAACTCTCACTGGCGCATCGCGTCGGATCTCCTCAAAGGCCCGCTTGACTGAGCTTGGAAGGTTGTCTAGCAAGTCTCACCTCATCCGGGTCCTCCGGCTCATCCTTCAAGAGTCCTCTCAAGCCTACGTTCCTCACTTAGTCCAAGTCGGAGTCATCAGGCGCCGGTCCGTGAGGTTGTTGTTGCGCTGGAACTTGTCGGCGTTGTCCTGCAGCAGCCGGAACTCGGTGGCCGGTTGCTTCTCCACGTCCTCCGGGGCGCCGTACACCGTCTCGTGCGGCCGGGCGTTGTAGGCCCCCGCGGCTCGCTCGCAGTAGTCGCTCCACTGCCCGCCCTTGCGGGCCACGCGCGTGGCCAGGTCCTTCTTCAGCGTTGCGATCCTCGGCTTCGTTCGGCGCACAGCTTCCGCAGGTGGCGAACTCGTTGCCCAGGTTGGCAGTATGGTGCTTGAAGACTTTCTTTGCCCCAGACCCATTTGGTGCAGCAAAAGGCGGATTCTCCGTCCTGGCGTCCGGGCCCTCACGCTTCCACTGCCTACTCCCCATGCCCATGCCGCTGCCCATGCCCATGCCTCTTTCAGTTTCTCCTTCCCGTTTTCTCGCACTCCGCGATCCACATGAGCCCTTGACCACGACTTCTTGCTGTGGGCGTCTTCTGCTTCCCGTCGCCCTTTTTGTAGCTCCGGTTGCTATGGAATGGCTTTGTGGCCACTGTTGTCGGTCTCCGGGATTCCTCTTCAGGAATGTGGGTACACCGATGACGTAGGACCTTCTCAATCCAGACGCTCACGACGAGAGAGCGACGCCTTGTTCAACATCCTCTGCGCCCAGGAGCCATCGCTATAGCAGGTTTCAGGGTTCTGCCTCAGGCACTCCATCTTCAAGAGCTTGAGGTTCGCCAGGTAGGTGCTTATCGATGTCTCGGGAGTTCTCTTGTAGGCCAAGAACTCCTCTTGGGCCCTCTCCTTAACTCCCCCTCCATGCGGTCGCCATTGAGCAACTTCTTCTACTGCTTGTAGAACTTCCGGTTCCCTCTACTAAACCCTCCAGCCTGACCTGGCCCAGAGAACTCTTCGGTCGCACACCTTTCATCCAAGTCCTCAGCATGCTCTTCAGTGATGAAGTCGCCTGCGCAGGCCTCTTCCTGCTTGCCGGCTACCCTTTCCATCACCTGTCCAACGGCCAGAACTGGCAGCTGGTGTTGGTGGTTCCGGAGGTTTCTCAGGATTTTTTCCGCAAACTCCCTCTTAGGTTCAGGGCCTGGATCTTGCCGCGGGGGACCACCACCTCGTTCACCTGAGCAGCCGTTCTCCCCGCTTGAGCTTGGCCCTGATCTTGATGCGCCCCGCTTGGATGGGGTCTCCGCACGCGGTCCTTGTTGACCACCTCAACCTTTGCCTCCAGCAAAGGACATTCCATGTCCCGGGACGAACACCCAGGTTCCCGCAGCACCTCCACCAGCACCTTGACAGCTCCGCCAAACTCGAAGCCGGCCTGTCCCTCAAGGCTCTTGTCGGCCAAGTCTTAGGTGTAGCCCCCAACCGCGCGCTTGGAGTCCTCACCTCCGGGGTCCTTGGTCCAAACACCTGTGGTTGTGGTGCTGCTCAGCCTGCCCTCCACTGGCTCCCTGATCGCCACCTTGAGCTCGCCGTCACGCCGCTGGCGCACCATGGCAGGCCCCCAGACTCTCGCTACCAATATGGAGCTTCGGGACCAAGAACCACGGGTAACCAGGGCGCCCCAAACAACAGTCAAAAGAAAAGCCCAGGCACCGCGCGGCAGTGCATTCGTTTTCATGCGCAAGCGAACCGGCCGGTTCTCCAGCCAATGCGCGACGGATCGCAGTCATCCAGCCAAGCCCCAAATCACCTAATGCCCCTTCTTCACACTGCCAAGGGCGCAAACTCGAAAGCGGCCGAAGGGAGGCGACCCACTGAACCAGTCCCCCTCTCATGGGGTCAAGATGAGCCTCTGCGAGGCCGACTGTTGGCACAAACCGCTGGACCATCTGCCCAGGCCTGCTCCGATTGCAGCCGCACATCCCAGGAAGCCGCCATGGCTGCCAAGTGCTGTGTGTGGCTGTGGGTCAAAAATAGGTACTCAAAATGGAACCCTGGTAAATAGAAACATGGACTAAAATCTGCGGTCCAATTCCTGGTGATTTATTATTGACCCACACCCATGTGGCTTCTGCTTCCTTTGTGCATGCTGCGGTTGCATGTTGCTTTTTAGGGGCACCCACACGCGGAGGAGAGGCTTCTCCAATTGGAGCAACTGAGCTGCGCCCATCTGCCCATGCTAAAGCACCAAACGCGAAGCATTTTTTGCCAAACAAGCAGCTTGGAGCTCTTACCCCGTTTTGGTGGCTCTCAGCGAAACTTAAAGGAAAACACTTTTGGGGGGGTCCAACGTTGCATATGCAATACCCTTGCTGAAGACAGCTGGGGAGCGGTAGCACATGTCATATGTCAACAGCTTGCTTGTAACAGCCCAAATGTAACATCAGGCCCTCCGCTCGCAAGCTCCACTGACACATCACAGCACGACTGTCACTGGGGCATGGACGACACGGTCACAGCGGTGAGCCCCTGTTGATGGGCCCGTGGCCAAATGTGAGCCTAAGCCACAGCCATCAGGCGCTTGGCATGTGTGGTCTATCCGCCGCCTCCAAGCCACACTTCGGCAGACAGGTCCTGTCGGCCGGGCGCAGCACAAGCAAGGGCCCAGAGGAGTTGTCTCGAAAACTTTGAAAGCAACAAGTCATGGTCAAACGACTTAAAAGAACAACTGGGCATTTCCCGGAGACACGGGACACCTGGCTTTCAACTCGCAAGCCCGAAGCGCTGAAGAGGCCCGCACCCCAAAATGTGGCACTCGAGGCTTGGGCCACACCTTGCCAGAATCCCAGGCCGCTGCCCTTCAAACCAGGCCCAAATGCCTCCCTGGTGGGAAATCTGGCCATCACAAGGGGCTCCAATTGTGCCCAACCCCTGTGGTGGGTAGAGGGGCAAATCTGGCCATCAAGGTAAAGGATGTCCATGGCAGGCCGAGCACGCAGCTCGCAGAATTGGACGGCCATCTCCCGAAAGTTGCCGCAGGCCTTTCCACAAGTGCTCGCCCAGCTTTATTTGATTTGGCTGTGGGTCAAAAACAGTTGGTAACCCCAAAATGGGTTGCCCTGGTAAATGGAACCAAAGACTAAAACCTGCGGTCCAATTCCTGGTAGTTTAACTTTGACCCATACCCATTTTGTGGATAGAACACTGGCCGCCCTGTTACCCCTCTTGCACCCGAGCCAGTCAGGGTTGGGTCCGACACCAGCGGCATTGTCATTTGCCGCTTTAGCGCATTGAGACTTAGGGGCATGTTGTCAACTTGCTTGAGCAGTGCAAAGTATCCTACCCGATGCACTGGTTGGTGGGCATTTTCTCTTGGATGATGCTACTTTCCTTTCATTGCCCGATATTGTTTCTAATCGTGCACTTGTTGATCCTGCTTACAGATGCATACGGATACATTTGGAAGGTTCGCTGCGGTCTTCGCTCAACTAGTCCTGCCATATTTTTTCTGCGGCTGTTGCGCATCTGAAGATCTTGAAACATGAGGACAGAACATCCAACTGCCCAGGGAACATGACACCAGTGTGGGCCAGTTCAGTCAAGGCCTTGCATAGGCTCTATGAAGGTCTCTGACATGAAGAACCCATCACAGGATAAGTGCATTCACACTCCTCGCAATCTGCGGATTGACTGCTGTTCTACCAATCCTTGTTTGAAAGCCATTCTGCATGGTCTCGCAAAGCCTTTCCTTGGAGGCCACTAGCTGATGCAACATGACACACTGCCTGCCCATATTCCATGAAAAGGAAATCTTCATCATCCATGTAGCCCAAGGCAGCACAGTCATCTGTATCACTGTCATCCATAGAACTGCGTCCTCTGGGCTTTGGGTGGATGCCCGTCCCGGCAGCTTCCCCACCTTGCACACTGAAGTCTCTGAGCGCGTTGTCTCGCCCAGGGCTCCAGCCGCTTTGGAAGACATCGTCAAGTCGCTGGGAAGTGCGATCTAACACCAAGCCATCTAATGATTTTGAGGACCACGTCTGCTTCACTGGCAGGAGATAAGCAACATCCGCTGCTGCATACTCTAGCAGTTCCTGGCGCAGAGGCCGTTCGCTCCAAACCACATCACCGCCAGCCTGGCTGAAGAGACGACGACCAAGATCCTTCAAGGCCTTGAACTGCACTTGCTGGTGCCTTGGAATGACAGCAGCCTTCTCCAAGATCTGGGGCAGGCCCTTGACGAACCTGTCGCTCTCGCGACTGAACTTCAAAGCATGGAGAATCTGTAGATCATAGCAGTTGGCTAGCTTGACCCCATATCCCTTGCGCAAGGCATATGCATCTGCACGTCCATCACATAGAACCTTGCAAACCGGACCTTCTAGGAGCTCTTTCAAATGGCCATGTTGAAAGCCTTCCGGCCCAATGACAGTGATGTCAAAGATCTTCACGCCACTTCCGGTTGCAACCTGTCCACTGCAACTTCCTTGAGGTCCAGAAGTGATGCCGCCACTTCTCGACAATGTTCCAGGCTGGTGATCAGCTCATAGGGAACATTCATGGGTGGTTCTTAGGCTCAGATTGGTGCGCACTCGAGAGCTTGAGCAAATGGACAACTGAGGGTTGATGGACTTGGCTGATCCTGAACCAGGGATGTGTAAAATTTTGAGCATATATCACGGGATGAACCGCCTACAGGATCCACAACCTGTAAGTCAGTTTGCGATGTTCATCTCTCCGCTACGTCCAAACCAATGATCCACCCAGTGCCTTCTGCACTCTCCGTGCGATCCCGCCCTGCCTTCTCACATTGTTGCGCCGCACGGTGCAGGGTCAGATGGCCTAACCGACCCCGCTGACAACACTGCGACGCACTCGCGAACTCGAAAGCCTATATCTGCCAAATCCGTGCTGGACAGGGCTTCCGCATAGTGCACGAAGGGCTCCTGCAACGCTGACATTGCCATGCGAGTTGCCAACACCAAACTGGTCCTCAGTGATGTTGAGTGGATTCATTAAGAGCCTTGCAAGACAAGCCCTTCCACGGGAGGGGGTGGGTGGGGACGTAAAATTTGAAGTGTGCAGCAGCTTAGCGCTGAGCAGGTGCCCCAAAATGACATTCTGCCAGTCAAAGTCCGGCCTGACACGGTGCATCCCCAACCCAACTCGGAATTGCATCCCCACCAAAGGGAATTCAGGCGCCATTAGGAAATCATGGATGAATCATGGCCATAAATCATGGCCATCCAAATCATAATCACTTTGTTATCTGCTCAGGAGCGACAACAATGCATGCACCACTTCTCAGCCCCGCGCATGTTGCCCCCAGGCCTGGCCCAGACCGGCGCCCAGTGTGGGCAGGGGTGCGGAGGTGCCTAGGGCAGCCCACATTTCCTGCTGAATGCGGGCTGAGCTGAGCTGAGGACACCGGTGCCCCAGTGACCCAGCCCAGCCGCGTCTTGCCAAATGCGGAGGCTTCCGTCAAGGCCTGGGCGTCGCGAGGCCATTCCGCCATGCCATGCCTTTTTGAAGACGCGCCTGCGGACGCCAGCCATGCGCCATCCGGCGACCATGCCACGTCCTGCCGCCCGTGTCCAAACACCGCTGCCTGCCATGATGTGCGGCGCCTGGACGTGGTCCAGGTGACCGACGAGCCTCGGCGGCGATGCATCGCTGGCGCCCTGGCCCTCCACGGGGCCCGGAGCTGAGAGGCTCAGCCGCCCGCTCTGACACCGCAGGAGCGGCGGGCCGCCATACTCGAACTACTCCATCCTGCAGGCGGCTGATGCACAGCGCTGGTGTGCTAAAGCAACTAGGCCAGCTCTTAGACTTATGCTTCAGAACTGCCGCTGACACTGCTGCTACTTGTGCCACCGCAGTCACTGCCAGCCCTGCTTTCACTACGATTAGCGCCGCCTGACACTCAAGAAACTACAGTTCACTAGCAAGGCGACAACGAAGCAACCCAAATACACGAGGGAGGTGGCAGTCGCCCCAACGCCCGACGCACCACAAGACGGCAATGAGTGCATCCGGCCTCATAGCCAGCCGCTACCCTTCGCTGGGATCCCAATGGTTGTGGGGCATACGCGGCCGCCAGTGCTGTGCCTCAAAACCAAGTTGGGAGCTCCGAGACTGTCAAACAGTCTCCATGATCCTTTAAAAATGGGGTCACTACCCAAAAGAAAGGCGTCACAACCCCATTTTTTATCAGGGTGATGGACACTCCAGGTAGCGCGTAGTGACTCACTGCTATGGACAAGCTGAGTCAGGTTCTCCGACCGCAAAACTCTAAGCCTTTGGCTCTGCGCGGTGAGCAGCGAGAGGGGCGGAACACTTGGAGCCGCCCTAAGCCATGGCCCATCTCATCGGCCCACAGCTCAGCTCCTGAGCTCCTGAGCTCCGTGCCCAGGAGCATCGGATCCCATCAGCACCTCGACCCCCCACGCCCAGCGCCCACAGCTCAGTGCGCGCTCCTGGCCTGGAAGGGATCGCCCGCGGGGGTCCAATAGTGCGATGGCTGCGAGCAATCCTGGGCCATGCAACAAATATGACGCTGCGATTCGTGTGCCTCAAGTGGCAATGCAAGCGAGTTCTCAAGCCGCGGGCGTACTTCGGAAGTGACCCGCAGACGCAAATTCGATACGTCCCGAGCGAGAAAGTTCCTGGGTCCAAGCCGTCAGGTTTGCAGTATGATCCAGCAGCTTGGCGCGCCCGAGCCCCAGACGAACCGCCCCCAGCGAGTCGGTCCCTCCGCAAACCATCTTGCGCTCAAGCAGCTCTGCGCCGGCCTCGGGGCGCCGTCATCCATGAATCTAGGGGTTGATTCCCATTTTTGTCAACCATCGCTTTTCGAGAAAGAAGGATTCCTGGAAAGAATGGGAAGGGTACCCCTAGAATGAAGGGCTTTTGTGGACACGTGACTTCTTGGCTCCCAGACGTTGGGATCCTCCCGGCATTGCAGCGCGCCGAAGCCAGACTCGGCGGCCACCACCTCCCAAACTCTCTCAGGGCCACAGGAGAAGCTCAAGAAAATCTCCGAGGAGCGCGCGCCGCCCGGGGCGAGCACTTCGGGAGTGCCCTGCGCAGAGCCAAAGAAAAAAGCATCGCTGGAGTTGCCTGGCCTCCCCACACACTTCAGAGGCTTGCAGCAGCAGGACGCGATCTAGCTCGGGGCGAAGCCCAATGGCAGCCACCTGAGGCGCTCGAGGCGGCTTGAGGCGGAAGGCCGAGCACTCAAACTCAAACGCTTTTTGCTGTCAAATGGGGCCATTCGAGTCGCTAAGAGGCACCGAAAACGCCTGGATGCTCAAACTGTATCACATAGCATTAAAAGTTGGCCATGGTTGTCGCACACCAACCGGCCGAATGAGGTAGAATGAAACAATTATCAAAGTCTCGAGGCTTGCGCCCACGTGAGGCTGAAAATCCTAAGTCGCAGCGCGCTGCTGGCCGGCCGCGGCTCTCCGCTTCAGATTAAGAATGTCCGAGACATGGTGAGCAACCTGGCTGCTGGTCAAAATTAGGTACCCAAAATGGAACCCTGGTAAATGGACATGGACTGAAACCTGCGGTCCAATTCCTGGTAGTTTAATTTTGACCCATACCCACCTGCCGGCTCTCGCGGCCAATGCCCCGCAAGGGCAGGAGGTCCGCGGGCTCAGGCCCAAGGCCCACAAAGTGGGCGCGCGCCTGCACCGCGTCGTTGAAGAGGCCGGACTGCGCTTCCCGGCTCGCCTCGTAACCAGTGCACAGAACCACCAGGGAGAAGTCGTGCTGCGCCGTGTGCCCCGCGAACCTCACCGCCACGCCTGCACTTTGGAACTCCACCGACTCAACATCCGGATGCGGGAGGATGCGCTGAGCGCGGACCATCTGCAGTAGGGACCCGTCGCGATCCACCGTCGGGATGTGCCGCTCTTGCCGGGCGCCCCACGTCGGTAAGCCGGGGAACAGAGGGCGAATGTCACCCTCTATGAGGTACATTAGCCCCGTCGTAAAGCGGTCCCCATTCTTGTTGCACAAACAAGCAAACAAGCTCGCGAACCATTCCAAGCGCAGTGGACCCCACTGCCTTCTCACAATGGGTGGAAGTCTGCGCATGGAGACATGCACTTTGGCAGATGGGGCGCGAGCCAGGAGGAGGCTGCAAATGTCCGCTGCAGAGTTGCCGAAACCAACCAGCAGCAGCCGGCCCTCAGAAGCCGCCGAGACTGCCGCGTGGAAGCGCTCACCTTGTAACTGGGAGGAGTGTAGCACCATGGGCCTTTCTGCCCACAGCTGGGGCACGCGTGGGATCGCATTCTTTCCCGTGGCTACCACCAACTCCCGGCATGTCAAGCGTGTGGCTCGGCCGCCGCCATCCCTGCAGCAAAGATGCCATTCACCATGGCAATGCTCAGCTTGCACCACCTCCGTGGCACACCTCACCTCCAGCGCAAAGCGCGCCACGTAGGCGTGCAAGTAGCCCACGTAGTCCTGGGGCGTCAGCTCATCCGCAGAGGTGAAGAGCTTCATGGGGAAGCCTGGCAACCCGCAGGCGGAGGCCCGGGTGGTGATCGTCAAGCCGTCGAAGTGCTGGCACCATCCCCCCTGCACACTGCCCTGGCGCTCCAAAACCACCACCGAAACCTCGCCCCTCTGCACCAAGGAGGCAGCGGCAGCCAAGCCAGACGGACCTGCACCCACCACAATCACGTCGCCTCAGGCGGCTCTCCGGGTGAAACAGAGGCTCCCCATTCCTTACAAGGATGGCCTCCCGCCATGTCTTGGAAACAGCAACAGTGCAACCAGAAGTGGCAGGGAGAAAGGGGCATAGTGAACAATCAACAGGTCTTGTGGCCCGGAAGCCATGATTCCGACATCTGCAATTAGCATCCAAATCCAGCAAAGCAAAGAGATCTGATGGCACCTGTTTTGAAGCCTAAGCGACTTGCCCGTGAGTCCTCTTGTCTCGTATGCTGTTTGCTTTCGAGCCAAAGAAATGAAGGGTCTTGCAGGACAAACACATAGAAGCCTTCATGGGAGCGGGGCAGTTGCACGAAAAGAGGACCTGAACCCAAAATGGACTGCTGATGAGCGCCTTGCAGGGGACATTCAAAACGTTGCTTCCAGGAATTCCCAGTTCAAAACTGGCCCACAAACAGGCAGAAGGCCTTTCACTCCTTTGCGAAGACGCAAGATTCAAAACATCAGCAACAGTCTGTCATCCCTTCTCCCTAGCCTCCCAAACCGGCCTGCCCCCCCCCCCCCTCCCCCTGGCCTCCCCCCCGTTTGGGACACGGTTGGCAAGGCACCGTTCAACGTCTCGCTGTCGCCGCCTCGGAGCCCCGAATCGCCGCGCTCCGGCAGCTCTGGTAGGAAGAAGCCCATCTTCTGAGCCGCCTGGCTCAAGGCTCAAGGGCCACATGTGCCATAATCACAACCGATCGGTATCAAAATGAGCGATCCCCCAGAATGCCTCAAGACGCCCAAAAACAAAAAGGATATCCGCACCCAGGTACCTTGCTACCCTCCAAGTCTCCGGGCGTTGATTGTCTTGCAAAGTTCGATCGCCCTTGTGCCTTGACCACTTTGGCGCGTCCTAAAATGCGGATTTTAATGATTGAAAAGACGGAAGATGTGAGGTTGGTTCTCTGGTTCGTCTGAAGGTGAGACAAAACTGACCAAAAACTAGCTACCACATGCTGCTTGACTCAGGCTTGGAGAGAAGAACGTCTCATCCACTGTGGGGCTTCTGAGACGCCCACGTCTCTTGCCCAAGACGCTTTGGATCACTTCGGCTTTCTGAGCTCCAATACAAAGGATCCAAGCCTGTGGTTTCAGTTGCCTTTGCTGCCCTGAGTATAGGATGCGTCTGCCACGGACCATCAGTTCCCTCTGGGCTTTTCGTCTGGCCTTCGCGCGGCAACTGCGCTGCAAACTAAGTTCGCGCACAGTCGCGGGCGCAAGTTGGACTTCTGCCTTCCCTGAGGTACAAACAGAAACGTTTGTGCAATCGCGCTTCGACCGGCCGTTGAGCAACGCCACACATCCGTCGGCACGCACGCAAGTGATTTTTTTTTCCCCCCTGTTGTGGCCCGAGTGGGGGGAGAACCCAAAACAAATGTCTCCTGACTAGCCAATTCAACTACCCTCCCTTCCACTAACGTGGCACCTGAAGGAGGGTCCATTGAGGAAAATCATCTTCCAGGTACCCTCAGGTGCTATGGGAGTGGAAGGGAGGGCACCCAAGGCTGTGTCTGGCCGCCTTCCTGCGTCTCGGTGCCTCTCCATCCGGCCTTCCACTGTATTGGCATGTCATCCAGGCGCACGTCTCCAAGCTCGTCAGGCCATTCCGGGTTGGCCGCCGCAACGATGCCAGCCGCATGGCAAGCATAAATCTCCTGAGCCCAGCCAAGCCTTCTTCCTACCATCCTCTTCCTACTTGAGGAGAAGCAAAAAACAAACAAAAAAAGTGTTTAGCTGGTGTTTCTGTCGCTTTGCCCGGCTCAAGCGTCATGGCTTGCCAGCAGGTTCGAAAACTGCCTTGGAGCCGACAGCCTCGTCATGTCCAGGTGAAGGACGCCGCCCTTCACCACGGTCACGTCCGATCGTCGGCAGGAGTCAAAGGGGTCCGGCACGCTGAAGACCACCGCTTTCGCCCCCCGGGGCAAATAGTTCGGCACCCGGGCGTCACTCTTGCCCACAATCCAGTGGCGCACGCGCACACCCTCCACCAGTGCCGTAGTCACCTTGAGCCGCGCGCAAGCTTCAGCAGGAAGCTCGCTGCACTTTGCGAGCAGCCTCTTGGATCTGTCAGCATCACTGGAGTGTGCCAGGACCTCGTACCCGTGTTGGAGCAAGCACAATACCACGGCGGCGCCCACTTTACCTTACTGGACTGCAAGCAAAGGAATTTCGAAGGGCACACCCAGTCCCTGAATCTGGGAAGCGACCCCCAACAGGGCTTCAACCAGCAAGGGTGGCCCACGTAGCTCAGCCTAAATCGGTCGCCTTCCCTGCTTTCCGTGCCGCCACGCTGCTTGAGGCGCCGGTGACAAACACGTGACGACGCGGGCCGAACAACTCCCGAGCGGTTTCGCAGACCGCGGCCGCCGTCATGGTGTTCCTGCGATGTTCAACCCCCAACCTAGAGCATAAGCATAATCTGTCGCAGCACAGGCTTTAAAGGGCAAGGACTCAAATCAGTTGGGATTGTCAAACGTCGTAACGGCACCAAACCTGAAAGAAAGTTGACCAAACTTGGACCCAGGTTCCCGTGCACCACGCGCATGCTGCCTTTCAGCTCATGCAGCAAGCCCAGGCCGCCTTGGCGTGGTCTCAAAGTCAAGCGCCCAAGACCCTTGATTTTGGGAATTCATGACTCTCTGCCAGGCTCAAATCTTTGGGACCTCTTGCATGTGTGAATGTTTGGAAGCCACCTGACCCCATTGCCTGAAGATCGCTTCCAGCCGAGCGGCCGTTGTTCATCCACTCAGCCTTGTTCAGGGCACCCAAGCAAAGCACAGACACTTTCCTGCTCTCCGCCATGCATGCCGCCTTCTTGATACGAGCCTCGGCTTGACGCGCCAGCTCTACGTCAGCTTCCGACTCATGCTGCTTGAAACCCTTGAGGCAATGCGGTTGGTTGGCTTGACCAATGCCATTCATGGCTTCAACCGCATCTGTTTGCAAAAGTGTGTAGGACACGGCGCTGCGACGAGTCGTCGAAAGGGCTGCAGCACATACTGATACCCAAAGTTGGCCATGACCCAATTCTGCATCCGAACCCCCGAGTACTCCACGTCCTCCGCCACCTCCACGCAGGAGCCTTGCCGCAGCAGGGGCCAGAGCACGGGAATCACCAGCGACAGCACGGGCCCAGCCAAGCGCATCCACCAGGAGGGGGTCCAGCCCGCCTTTGGGCTGGAGCTACGCCACCACAGGCTGAACAAGGAGCTCCCATAGGGAGGGTGCGACAGGAACACCACATCCACCGGCCGACTCTCTGGAGCCTTTCTTTCCAGGAGTCCGCAGACCTGACAGCCGGACCGGTCCGGCATGCTGGTGTCCTGCCAGCCAAAAATTCTGGCAACCCTACCGGCGATGAGAGCAAAAGGCCCGGGCAACAAGCTGAAAGGCTGAAATGCCAAAACATAAGCGTCCTGCGCCTGGTGTAGCATCCGCCAAGCTTCAACAAAAAGCGTTGCAGTGC